TCTCTCTTCTCCCCTTCAAAACCTCCGTCTCCACCAGCACCCTCGCCGCAAGATGGAGGTTTTTATGGGCTTATGCCCCCAACATAGATCTATGTGTAGGCAAATCGAAGTCGATTAGGGAGTCAATTCACGAACAGAGAAAGTTCGTAGACGTCCTCACAAAGGTTCTATCCCAATGTGAAGCGCACAGCGTGAACGCCCTTCGCCTTAATATGGAATTCTTCATCGCGCATGAATTTGAGGCGTGTCTCGAGCGCGCCTTTGCCTGCAAGATGAAAACTCTCGATCTTACTTTCCTGATTGACTCTCAATCTTTGCCCCCTTGCGTGCTCACCTCCGAATCCCTAGTTGATTTGAAGCTCAATACTTTCGATATTAAGATAAAGAATGGCGACGTGTGTTTACCAGCCCTCAAGAGGCTTCGTCTTGAGTACGTTACTCTTTATGGTTCCCTTGAAAACCTGATTTCCGGTTGTCCGGTGCTTGAGGAGTTCGCTGTTCTTTCCTATATCTCTGTTGTCGTTGACGAAACTGTGGTATGCCAGTGCATATCTTCTCCCTCTATGAAGAGATTGGTCCTCGGCTGTGAGTTACCTTTCAGGTTGAAGATAGATACTCCCGCACTTGAATATCTTAATTTATATCATATTAAGGCCTATAATTTATCGGTCGGGTTGATGGACTCCTTGATTGAAGCATATATTGTTGGTCATCTTGTCAAGCCACCTGTGAATGATAATCCTTATTCCCGTTCTCTGCTAGAATTTGTTGGTAGGTTATCTAGTGTAAAAAAATTGAGCTTACGTGCTTGCCGTTGGGGGAAGGTAAAACTTGTTTTTCTCCATCTCCTTTTGCTTTTTATTTTTCTTTTTCCTCTCTCTGTTTTTCTTTCCTTTTGTAATCATTGTTTTCCTGCAGGTTGCTGACTCTGACTCGACCCCTGTCATAAAGTTCCACAATTTAGCCAAACTCACCGTGGGTGGTGATTGGCGTTCCATCTCATATTTCCTGGAGAAGGCTAACACTCTTCAAGTCCTTAATGTTAGTCTGATTGTTTTGTCTGTATTTTCACAACGTGTATGGTTATGACCATGTTTGGTAGAACTAGCGGATGATAAGTGATTGATGGCCGGGCTTGTTATGCATTTGTTTTCTTTTGTTTCATCATCAGGTCGTAGAAGCTCAAGAACCTGAATGTGAGACGGTACCCCTCCAGTTGTTGCCTCCTAAATGCTTGCTGGCTAATTCAGTCTTGAAGCTTCACAATTTAACAAAACTCGAATTGAGTGTCAATGGGTGGTTTCTCTCATATTTCCTAGAGAAGGCTGATAAACTTAAAGTCCTTATTATCTCTAGGGTAAAGCATTTTCTTTTTATTCATATTTAAGGTTGACATTTCCATGCTTACCTTTCTGTTTCATTGTCAGACTTGTTTTAATCAAAAGCGCTGGTTGGTGGCTCCCCTCCAAGTGCCTAATTGCCTGTCGTCACATCTTAAAATAGTGCAAATTCATGAATTGCACAGTACAGAGCATGAACTCGACATGGTTAGATATCTCTTGAAGAATGCTAAAGTCCTGGAGAGGATGGAAATACACTGCTTAGCAGAATCAGTCGAGAGAATTTCATCATTTGATCGAGGATCTGAGATATGTGAGATTGTCTTCCACGAATATATGGAATCAGACGATGAAGACTTAGGTTTTTGACATGATCTAAGTATCGTCTTGTCATGCTAACACTCCACAATTGAGGGTCCTTTCGCAAATATTGCCTTTTGTCTTCCTAAATAAATAATTAATTATTTATGTGTAATCGACATTTTTTTTTTGTTGGTTGCAATTGCCATTTGAGAATTGCCATTTTTCATTAGGAAATGATTTTTTCTTTTTTCCATTTATTTGTGGGGAATGTCTCTCTCTACATTTTCATTGTTCGAGCCAAGAAAATTATTTAGCCTTGACTACAATGATGTCACTGTTAAAAAAGTGCCTTGAAACGGAAAGGCTAATTCGAACCTAGTGTCCACGGTGGGTTTCGACCCATTGGTAAGTTATATCAATACTTGTCCGGTCTTGTTAGTTTGAACATTTTCAGCATTTCTATAATATGCCTCTAATCCGAGTCAGTGTATTGAGTTAGTAAATATTATGTTGCAGGTCGGAAATTTCATCTTGTGTAGGCGGCAGCAGCAGCTGCTGAAATTCATTTTGCTAAGCGACCTGAAAATGCTGGAAAACTCGTTGTTGTAAGTCTACTCTTTTCGCATCAATGTTGATTGTGATATCTTTCTTTATACTTCTCTCTTTTTAGTCAGATTTGACTTACCTGTTTTGGAGGTTTCTAGGTTCCTGTGTTAATTCGGAACTAATTTCTAGAAATAATCTCACCCATTCACTATCGCATGTTTTCATGAACATCGGTTGCAGGTCATTTTCCCGAGCTTTGATGAGCGGTACCTCTCTTCCGTGCTTTTCGAATCTGTAAGAAAGTGGGCCGAGAGCATGATTTTTGAGCCGTGACATTCCGGCTTCAGAACATGGCCTATTGATCATATTATTACTAAAGTTTGCTCAACTTCTTTCAAACTGTTGCTCCATTTCTGTTTGCTGATAATTTTGATGTTGGGGGTATGTTGGTGGAAGGAACGATTTGTACCATCAAATATGTTAAATCCTTTGGCTAAAACCAACGGACGCATGTTCGTTGAAACTACTTGGATGGAAGATGCTTCTTTGAGCATTAAAGTCTAATGAGTCATTAATGAATGATACTAGTTTTAAATATAATGCATGATAAGTAATAATAATAATATAAAAATGTTTGTAAAAATCATAACATAATGAATGGGAAAAATAAAGAAAAATACTATTAAATATTTCTTTATATACAAAGTTTGTGGTTTTTTTACGTCAAATTATCATCACCATAAATCATTATCTTTAACCCCTCCGAACTTGTAACTGTGGAAGCGCCACGTATAATTGTCACTATAACAATGACACATCGGATGACGTATCTAAAATAATTAAATTGATATAGGCCTTGTTTGGCGATCAGCGGATAGCGGATTGTATTAGCGGATAACGGATAGCGGATTATATTAGTTGATTTGACCAGTGAATTGCATTAGCGGTTTTTAAATAAGTGTTTGGTAAATAGCTGAAAGCTTATAGCTGTTTGACATAGCAAATTACCAATAAGACATTTTTATTATTTAGGGTGTATTCTTCTAATAATAATATATTAAAACATTTAATATTCTTTAGTTGATAATTTATAAATATTTTTTTTTTTAATTTACAAACACTTGATTAAGAAGTAATAAATTTTACATTTTTCTAGATAAATTAATCATATGGATGACATATTTTTATTTATTAGCACCATAAACCAATGTAAATTGTATATAATACAAATTAAAAAGTTCTAAATTAAAATAGTAGATTAAGAATCTTCTATCCCAAAAAGCTTATCTAATTAGCTTTTTCTAAATTAGAGTTTTGAGCCCAAAAAGCGTATCAAATAAGCTATTTACCAAACAAACTCAATAGCGGATTTGACGGGTCAAACCTCTTAATTAAATCCAACCGCTAATTTATCTTCAATCCGCTATCTTCCAAACGGGGCCATAGTTAAAATATGTGCTAAGTTTTATTCTTAAAAATTCTGGACACAACATATAACTTTATGATTAAGTAACAATTAATATTTACACAAATTTTGACAAATAAAATGAAGAAAACATAGAAACATGAATGTTTGTAATATAAAAGTCACTATTATATGTTAAAAAATTACACATGTAATAGTTTTACTTGTTGAAATGATTAAATATTGTACTACAAATAATTGAGATCAATTTTGTTTAATAAATTTATTTTTTAGAATTCTATATTGCCCCTGTACACTTGCTTATGAAAATATTATCAAGTGTACGATAACAAAAATTTTTCATCACAATTACGTATTAAGTATTAATTAATTAGTACAGAGTCCGTGCGATGCACGGGGTGCACAATTTTAAAGTCATTTATCCAGCCTTATAATTATATAAATGAATAAAGAGAAATATACGGAATATATGTAGTACGTGACATGTGCGAGGCACGAGATATATTTATTTGGGGATTATTATACTATAAGATGCAATATTCAATAAAAGTTTTACAATACACGAAAATAATTATAAACAATGTAAATATCTAAATACATACACGATATGTGGAATAAATAAACCAAATTGCAAATATGAAAATATAATTTTAAAAAAGAATCGAAAATATATTTCACTAAACATGTACAAAATATCTAAATACATACACGAAAAAAAATTATATACGTTTCAAATTTCGAAATTAAAACAAAAATTCAAAATTTGGCTTACAATTTTATCATGCATAACCAACTCGAGATATGATATGTATGTGTTGCCCCAGTCTTGAAAAAACATTCTCGAAATTCGAACTTTGAGCATAGGTCTATTAGACCTATTGACTTGTTTGATTAACCAAAATCCTTGATTCATTGTTTTGAATAAAATACTGATTGGGGATATATTTTTTGTTCGCAGGAGGTTGATAGTGAGGAAGATGATGACTCGATATTTTTAGATTTGTAATTTATAATGGATAGAGTAGATATATATTGTTGTCAATATTTTTATTAGAAAATCTGAATTTGAATATACAAAAATCGACTTGAACAAAATCAAAATTGATTCTATACAATTAGATAATAAATAAAGTCTTTTTTATTTTAGTAAAGATTTTACGTATTTTTTTTTACTTATCAAATGTTATGGATTTTTTTTTTGTTAAACCTATTTTATGGGTTATAATACAAATACAATTAGAGAATTGAACAAAATCAGAATAGATTTCCATACAATTAGATAATAAGACGGAATTAGATAAAGAAAAGAAAGTATTAAATAAGAAATTTTGAATTTGCCTTTTTTTTAGTATAGATAGGCTTTACGTACAAATTTTGACTTCACCGATTTTATGGGATTTGTTTTGACAAAATCGATGTTAATATGGAATAAGACAAATAAATAAAGCCTTTTTTATTTTGGTAAAGATTTTACGTCTTTTTTTTTTACTTATCACATGTTATGAGATATTTTTTCTTAAACTGATCTTATGAGATATAAGACAAATAAATAAAATAATTAAGTAAAATTCTGGATAGAAATAATAATGCATTAATTACGTTGACTTTGTAATCTACTAAATTTGGTAAATATGATACCTTATTATATGAGTATAAAGTTTGATTGTTTTTGCTCACCCAATTTTATGGGATTTTTTATGTCAAGGTAAGAAAGATTAAAATTTAGAGGTTCAACATATATATAAGAATGATTTTTTATGAGATTTACGTACAAAATTTTTTATGTTAAGATTTATAAGAAGGATTTTTTATGTCATCATGAATTATAAATGCATTAATTACTACTTGATAAAATTAGAAGTTCATTAATTAAGTTTGACTTTTCTACCTACTATATTTAGTAAATAGGATCCCCTTTAATATAAGTATAGATAATTATAAATTATTCCTTGCATAATACTATGAGATGCGTTATTTATCTTAGTTGTAAATCTGTTTTTATTTGTGAAAGAGAGAGCGTGATTTATTTCTTTAATAATATGGAATTTTGGAAACAAAGAAATCTGAGATAAAATAAAAATACACGCTCAACTTGAAAAAAAGATAAGAACATATTTGTGATCAAATATTTCCATACAAGTTTTATTTCATGATCTTATCAGATTTTTTTTTTTTTTTACAAAACTGTTTGAATGAAATAAAATTAAAAATAAAATACACGTAATTAATACACTTGATAAGATCAGAAAGTCATTAATTATTGTTGACTATTCTACATACTGAAATTAGTAAATAGGTTTGCTTATAATATAAGTATAGATTATGGCCTTTGAGTCAGTTTTTAATAACAATCAATAAATGCACTCAATTAAAATCTTGCATGATATTCGGGAATCATATCAATCCACAACATCTACACTCAACTGAAAATAAGGAAAACAAATATCCTATTCTCTCTCTAAATAATGTAAACTCCATTTACCACCAATAAATAATTTCATCTCTCCATTATCTCTCAAAGAACTTCATCTCGCCATTATCTATCACCGAAAATTTTAGCATCTTCACCAAAGAAATCAACCATTTTCTCTCAAAGAACTTCATCTATAAAAAAAAAAAACTTCGTCTATCACAAAAAACAAACTTTATATCGGTTACACAAAACAACCGATCTAATCTTTGCAGTTAATTGAAGAAAGGAAAAATGAAAAAAAAATTGATGTCAAATCCTCCAAAAGTGAAGAAAAAAGCTCCAATTTCAGAAAATGAAGGCCCCGAGCCGTGTAAAAAAATCTAATCCGGAGACCGCCGAGTGTGGGCCGGCGATGGCGATGATTTTGTTTCCGAACATAAAATTTAACCAGAAGAAAATAAGCTGATCGACCACACGAAGAAGAAGGCTCGAGAAAACAAGGGGAAAGAGAAAATTGTTGACTCTCCAAACAATGAACAAGGGTCCGATTCGTTTTCCATAATTGGTGAGGGGGAAGAACCAAATTCGAGTGAAGCATAATTTGTACAATGTAAGACAAAGATTTGAATTGCAGTCTAACCACGAGCAAGTTATTCTCCAATCAGGTGTCATTGGGTGTATATGAATCCTAGCCAAGCATCATATTGATGTGATGGTTTCTCTTTACATTACCTAAGATAGAAACCTTAATCACGTAGTTGATAATTTTGTAACCTCAATAAGTTGTTTTGTTATTTTCCTGGAAGAAAAATAAGGAGAAACAATTAAAGTTGTAGTGTGCATTGGTGAAACTGAGTGTAGAATTAGTTATATGTTTCTACCGAAATGTTAAAATATAAATCTTTTTCAAAAATGTGTTTTTCAACTGTTATCATGTCTTTACAGAAATGTTTATATGTTGTTTATAAAACGTATATATACATTAGATTTAATGTGAAAAACATAAATCTCAGACTTGTTTATATATTGTTTATCTTATGTATAACTGCATTCGATTTGGATTTTGCAGTCACTCAGAATTGTGTATTATGTTTTATACCGTTTCAAAATTATTTATATGTTGTTTATCTTATGTATAATTACACGATTAATATTAGAGAACTGTCCGATCATGTTTTCTGATGTATATATACAATATATCTAAAATATATTCGGTGGTTATTAGGCAATATATTTTGTGGTTTAAACTGCAACTCATGTAATATGAAAACATATAAACAAAACCAAACATAAACACACACACACACACACACAAAAGCATATTTCCTTGACATTTTTTTTTTTTAAAAAAATCTAATTTAGGAGCTATAGCTTCGATCGTTTTTTTTTTCTCTACAATTCAAAACAAAAAATGGAGATGAATATCGCCTTCTCCATTTTAATTTGTAAAATCTCGTACACAAAATGTTAAGTATCATATTTGAAATTTTTGTT